TGGCTGAAGGTTCACTCAGCCTTCCATCCTTCCAAGGTTGGTAAAATGAGGACCTGGATTGTTGGAACTGCTTAGAGAGTGCTGTAAAGCACTATGAAGCAGTATATGTCTAAGTGCTATTGCTATTTTTCTATAACAAAATCAGATGGGTTCGTTTATTCTGTTCAGCTTTTTTAATGGTTTGGAAGCTTTTTTTATTTTAATGGAAGCACTACAAATGATAGCATAATAGTTGCAAAAAATCACACTATTGTATAAAATATGTTAGAAAAATAAATAATGGGAAAATTTTGAATCGGTGATTAAGGATTCATTGTTCCAGTCACAAAACATGGGGTGGGGAGCTTGGCAGCCAAATTAAATACAAATAGTCCTTTACTTATGACCACAATTGAGCCCATGTTTTCTGTTGCTAAACAAGACAGGTGAGTTTTGCTCCATTTTACAACTTTTCTTGCTACAGTTGTTAAATAATCTCTACAGTTATTAAGTGAATTTGGTTTCCCTGTTGACTTTGTTTGTCTGAAGGTCACAAAAGGTGATCACATGATCTGAGGTCTTTGCAACCGTCATAAATACATGCCAGTTGCCAAGCGTCCTAATTTTGATCAAATGACCATGGGGATGCTGCAACAGTTCTTAATGTGAAACAGTCATTACTCACTCATTTTTTCAGTGCCATTGTAACTTTAAATAGTCATTAAACAAATGATTGTAAATTGAGGATTATCTGTATCTGTAAATTTATTCAATAACTATCGGAATAAAACTATTTGGTTGCAAAAAATCTGTTTTGTATAAAATACTAAGTTTAGTTTAGTTTAGTTTAGTTTATTAACATTTATAGGCCGCCCTTTTCCCTAAGGGGACTCAGGGCGGCTCACATAAAATCAGGGAAGGGGGATACAAACAATGACATAGACACACATAAGTAAAAATAATGAGCAACATTCATTCATCATTCGGGAGGGGCGGCTATCTTTGTCCCCAGGCCTGACGGGCTAGCCAGGTCTTAAGGGCTATGTGGAAGGCCTGGACGGTGGTGAGAGTACGAATCTCCACGGGGAGCTCGTTCCAAAGGGTCGGAGCTACTACTGAGAAGGCCCTCCTCCTTGTAGTTGCCAGCCGGCATTGGCTGGCAGATGGAATTCGGAGGAGGCCCAATCTATGAGATCTAATTGGTCGCAGGGAGGTAATTGGCAGAAGGCGGTCTCTCAAGTACACAGATCCACTACCATGAAGGGCTTTATGGGTGACTAGTAGCACCTTGAAGCGCACCCGGAGATCGACAGGTAGCCAGCGCAGCTCGCGGAGGATAGGTGTTATGTGGGTGAACCGAGGTGCACCCACGATCACTCGCGCGGCCGCGTTCTGGACTAGCTGAAGTCGCCGGATGCTCTTCAAGGGCAGCCCCATGTTTAGGAAAGTAAATAATGGAACATTTTTGAATTGGTGATTAAGGTTACATTGTTGCAATCACAAAACTTGGGGGGGAGGGGGTGGTCTTGGCAGCCAAATTAAGTATCTGAAAATTTAATCAATAACTACCAGAAACATTAATTAAAACTTTTTCTGATTACATTTATAGCTAAAAATAGATTTTTCAAAAATTATTTCCTGAGCTGGCGAAATCTCTTTGGCTGGAAATTGCAGTCTATTTAAATACCTGTGAAGTGTCATAAAAGTTGGATTTGAATATGATTAAATGATCACATGTTCATTTAAACTTGGCCCCTTTTGATGAGGTTGTCTTGCGATATGGCAGAATCATACAAATGGTAGCAACAGTTTTTTATGTGAGGTTGTGGATATTCTGTAACATGAACCATTCATTTGTAATATAGAATTCTTGTTCTAACATACCAAGCTGACACATAGTTCCATGGAATTTCAGTTGCTGGGATTGGTGGGGAGTACCTCAGAAAACACTGCATTCCAAACAAACTTAATGAGAGACCCATTAATTTCCAAATACTTATTGAATTTCAGGTTTCCACTGATGTTCACTATGCAAGATATCCAGGCTGTTGGAAATCTGTGAAGGATGTCATCTCTGGGTACAGCAAAAGATTTAACACTTAAGTATCAAGCATTGCAAGAATAAACCAAAAGCCAGATTTGGATTTCCTGATAGATCTTTGGATGATTCACATAACATCAGAACAAATTTCCAAAACTACAATAAACTGTACAATAAAAGTAGCACTGGTATAATTTATCTGCCACCTTAAAACTATGGTTCTGAATTATTTTCTTAAAACTGTTACCACGGTGACTATGGGATCCAATAAATGTTGGCATGGGTGGTGCTCCAAATCCTACCCCTTGCCTTCTTATTCACTGCCTAATTGCTCCAACTAAATTCCTACCCTTCTTTATTTTTTAATCTACAAATCTCAATCTGGGAAAGGTATTTTGGTTGGAAAGAGAGGGTGAGAAAAGTACTACTGAGGCAGGTGAGCAAAAATTAATGGGAAAACCAGATAAATATGGAGAGGATGGCCACAGTTTTGATCTCAATCTCTGTCCTCTGCTCCTTCCCCAAAATCATGTCAATTTCCTAATGACAGGCTTAACCTAAATAATAATATTTTATTTAAAAAAATAATTCAAGTAATTTCAGTGGGATTTTTTTCTTGTGGTTATAAGGGAAATGCTTCCACTGTGCTGCTGCTGCTATGACTGGCAGCTATGACATTACTGTCACACAAGGAACTACATAATAATAAGTACCCTTAATTATGGGTAGTCCTCAACTTACAACTATTTGTTTAGCAATGTTTGAAGCTGTAATGCACTGATGTTTATGAATGGAATTCCCTTCCTGACTCGCACTTCTTGCACACTCTTGCTTTACAACTGTATCACTTAGCAACAGAAATTCTGGTCTCAATTGCCATTGTAAATTTAGGATTGCCTATATTTTAGAAAGTTGGTTTAGTGAAACCCTACTGAACCATAAACCATCTGCAGTAAGAAATCTCTTCTGTTAAGATAATTAAAAACTGCTAAGATTTGCATTCGGTCACAGTGAATGGCCAGGGTGGTCCTCATTGTAACTTTCTATGTTATCAATATGGATATGGAACTCAGCTGACCAACAAAGGCACAAACACCTCTAGGTTCAAAATGAGAATAAATTCAGTGAACTGGTCTATAAAAAAAATCCTAACCTAATTATGGTGTTAATAATGGAGACATGTTTGTTGATTTAAAGCATAGCTATTTGAAAAGGTAATAAAAACTGTAGAGAAAAGAATTAGAATTACTTTTATTTAAATCTAAATTGCTTTCATAGTGAATTATAAAAAAAATAATTCACTGTAAATTCATGATTAATTCAACATGAAAAAGAAGATCTGGTCAGTAAAATTAACTTTGTCTTTATTAAATTGAATGATCTTACATCTAAAAGTTCAATAATTATGACTAATAATTATTAATAATCATTTAAATACCTCTGTGCATCTATGTAACATTTATTTCACCAAACTCCTGTAGGATAATTATTCTATATGCTTACAATGTCACTCACTGAATTTGCTACATAAACACAAATCTAGATGCATAACTTTAGATTTGTAAATTGGAATGTCTAAAAAATAAAATTAAAAGAAAACCATAATATTATTGACATTAGCTAAATAACATGGTGTTTCATATGATACTCACATAATATCTAATTCATTAGCAGCCAGAATATTCATTTACTACTAGAATAATACCATACTTCTATCAATATTTTATGAAATCTAGGACGTTCTAGTCATACTTAAAATAATAGAAATCTGAAAGGAAGTATAACAGTATAAAGATTAAAATACCACTAATAAATTATAAGTAATGTTTTCCTATAATCTTATTGAACTTAAATGAATATGCAATACAGAATTGCATAAAGCCTAGGTCCATATTCTATAGCATTCCTTTCACGGTGGGAAGATACACAGAAGGGAATTCCCTTTGTGTGTATGTGTGTGTGGGTGCGTACATGTATGTGTATTTATAGGCTTTTCTCTTAAAATTAAAATTGGTTACAACAGATTGTTTTGATAAGAAAAATGTTCAGAGAACGAAAATGCAACCTTTAGGGAAGGGTTAACACATGTGAAGGTCTTCACTTGGTTGGTTTATCCAATCATAGAAATAAGACTCTCCAAACAGTATGATTTTTTACTGTGGGGACTTCTGGGAAGCGTTGCTCCTTGGGCAACAAGTTGCCATATAAAGTGAAAATATTGGAATTTGAAAAATATACACATTCCCAGGTTAAGAAAAACCACAGGTAGTCCTCATATAGTGACTACCTCATTTACCACTCATTCACAGTTGGAAAAATGATTAAAAAGTAAATTCATGACCAATCCTCATATTTACAACCTTTGCAGGTCTGTAAAGTAAAGGAAAGCTGAAGCAAAATCATAAGAGCAGTTTTGGTTTCACTTAATTACTGTTTTGAATAACGATTGAGTTGCCAGTCCCAGTTGTGATTGCTAAATCAGGACTACTGGCAGTGTAGCATGGCAATGAAATGCTAACACAGTTCCTCATGTAAGAATGGAATGATCTACATTGGTCAGTCTCGTTTTGTTCCTCTATTTTTGGGAAATGGTAACGTAATGGGGAATATCTTCAGAGAATGCACACTAAAGCTCTGAAGAACATATGTTGTATAATGTCTGCCAGAACCTACAAAAGCATTGCAGTCATCTTTGGTTAACTTCTAAGAAATCTATATTTCTTTTGTATGCACTATCTCTTATGGCTTTACTTTTACTGAGGTGTAAGGTTCCAATTTATTCCATCTTGATTTATTTTATTACTATTCAGAATTGTATTAACTTCCTGAAGCTGCAGAGAATATAAGTCACAGGAGGTATTGGATAAGGTGTATAATTTTAATAGACACCGAACTCATAGTCAGTGAATTTATTTGTTGTATTAATTATACTGTTATATCTTTCTTTTAAAAAACCTGTTTCTTCCCAGATGACTGAAGTTTAAACACATTTATTCATGCACTCCAGCAGCTCCATCCTGATAGCAATTCGCACATGCCAGCCAAGAGGTATCAACCTTAGGTAACGAGAAACAATGGGTGGGCGCAAAAGGTTCTGCACAGATGATGATCTGTCTGAATTTCCATAGAAAATCTAGAGAAAATAAAGTAGGAGAGCAAGGGGAAAAAGAGAGCTTAAGACTTAACATTCTTCTAATTTTGCACCCCAAAATTTGGAAACAATTATACTGCCTTAAATGACTGTGTAGTTTACTTGCCCAGTAAGGTTGCTGATAGTTTGTGCCTAGAACAGTGGTGGGATTCAAATAATTCCAACAACCAGTTCATCAAACTGCTCAGAAAGTTAACCACCGGTTCTACCAAAGTGGTGTGAACTGGTTGAATCCCACCACTGCCCTAGAAGCAATTAACTTAGAACCAATTACTAAATTCTGCTTGGGGAGAAGAACCCTACTCTCCTTGACTAAAATATGTTTATACACTGTATTAGTAATATACTTAGCATCTTCCCTCATCCCTTATATGGCTTGTTAAAGATTTTTAAAAATTATAATATAAAGGTCATAAGTGACTGACATTGTGCTTGGCTTAAAATATTTCACGAATGAAGGCAAATATACATGTCCCAAATGTACGTGTCCCAGGATAATGTTGCAGGATCCAATCTGAGTCAGTCACTGCGACTAGAGAAACTTCTTCTGAGGTTTCAGACTTGTGCTGGAGCCAATCTTCAGGGAACTTCTCTCTAGCAGTGTGTGCGCTTTGGGCTATTCTCTGTGTGGTATTTATATGGTGCCCGATTGTTGTGACTTGTGTTGATGGCTGGCGATTAAGTGGTTGGTTGTTGTTTTCTTGTGCTGACAAGCTTTCGCTTCCTAAGTACTTGATAAGCTGGTGGTAAATCAGCACTCCTGTTGATTGATGAGGGGCCTGTTTCCCCTCTGCCTGTTTTGTATTTGCTCGTCCAACAATCTTAGTAGCTGCAAAATTGAATCTATGTCCTTGTTCATTGCAGTATGAGGCTACCAATGAGTTCTCCTAGTCTGACAACTCGCTTGTGTTCTTGCAATCTGGTCATTAGCTTTCCCCCTCCCCCATGTCTTTATAAACCATATAAATACCACACACAGAACAGTCCAAAGTAAACACTACTAGAGAGAAATTCCCCAAAGAGTCCAAAAGCCAGGAAGACAAAACCTCTGGTCCTGGTGACTGACACAGATTGGATCATTAAATATTTCATTTGATTCCATATGGTCTCACCCCTAGCACCTGTCAATCTTTATTGAGCTATTTTCAAATACAGGTTAAGTGCTCTTCTAGAAGTGCACTAAACCTGTCTTCAGGCTCCTTTTGAATACCTGCTAGCTTTTGTTAGATTATTTTAAACACAATTTAATAATCTTCTGAAAGAGTACTAAATTTGTATTGAAAAGGAGCCCATGTTGCATAGTATAGTAGGAATTTCCTCATTCTCCCATATGCACCCACCCACCCCACTCTGCCTGCCACCTTTTAGTCAAGCTGATCCCTTTTTCCAAACCAGTTCTCAATAGGTACAAGATGGGCATTTTCTTGGAGGCCTGGCAAGTGTGGGGCAGGAGGAAGTCAAATTTGAATGGCCTGAAAGGTCAATGACCAAGATTGGAGAGGATAATGCATATCTGCATCAACTTATAGTGGCCAACAGTTGTTGGTTGAATATTGATTAAATGGTTGATGAAGTATGCCAGATTGTACCCATAATAAAACTTACATAGTTTCTTGCCTGTTTAAGTGGCAAACTATCTTTAAATACTTAACTACTTTAAGGCTGACTCAAGGCTGACAAGTATTGGTTGGGGGTGAGATGAAGACAACAACATAAAGACACAGCAGAAAAAAGAGACTGCAAGACCATGTTCTTACCACAGTTAAATATACACTGGGAAAGGCCCTAAGTGATTTGGTTAATGGAAATGCATGAGACATTGATAAACTTAAGAGATAGAAAGGAGTGAATATAGGCCTAATATTCGGCTGATAATCTAGGGTGTTCTTTTATACATGTATATCCCAGATTTGGCCAGTTGCCAAAAATGGTATAGTAATTGTCTCAAATTTAAGTCAATGGAATTGATTTAATGGCATTCTTTATTCATCTTGAAGCTGAAATATATGCTATTGGAATAGATACAAATAACGGGATTTCTCAGAAATGGGGAAGGGATCTTATACTGACCCGATTGTTTCCTGTTTGGTCCTTGTAATAAACCCAGTTCAGATTCTCATCAGTCCTGTATTGCACACTATATTTTGTCATCCATTCATCAGCATCACATCTTCCCTGTGTAATTATTCCTGAAATGACTTTAATTTCCTTCAAGTCAATCTGCAGCCATTGGTTTGTATCTTGGTATTTGGAGAGCCAGGCACACCTAGAAGAGTTATGGAAGGAAGGCATTGATTGGCAAGCACATGTCTTTATAAGGCATATATTTTGACTCAGCATCCATAAACAACTCATCTTTAGAGGATGAGTCAAGAGATGAATCTGAAGCCAGCAAATGGCCAGAACCTGGATCAAAATAAGCAGGAAAAAATTCAGGTGCAATGATTCAGATAATGATCCTGATGAAGACACCTCCAAACCACTCACTGTAGGGCGGAGCTCTTGGAGTCAGCCATTGCATTTTGTTTGGTCTCTGGATGCTTGGAAGCCTCATGCTAGCTCTTCTGAATCTTGGAAACAATTATTTCATGTAAACAATTACTTTCCTTCATTCTCTGACCACTTGTTGTCCTGTTGAAGCTAGAAGTTTCAACTGCCTTGCATACTCAGATGCTTTTTTGTGAAATAGAACATATTTAACAGTAAATGATGAAAACTGAGCTACTTCTGGAACATATATCCTTTGAGGATAGTTTTGAGAGAGCAATATGATGTATTTTGCTCCCTATCTTTGTGTTATGCAGTTTTTTTGAATGATTAATTTATTTCTAGCAAACTTTGGGAACATCCTTGCCCTGTATGATTAGACTTGTTTTCCTGTTCTGTAAACTACATAACTTGGTCATGATTTTTAAAATTAACTTATTTGATAGGTTCACAAATCAGCAAAGCCAAGCTTATGACTTATAAATCTCAGTGACTAGGTTCAAATAAAATGCCATATAAGAAAATCACATTAAGCTTTATCACATTTTATGAAATAGTCTCAATTTAAGAGTACTGTATTTATTGGGTGCAAATGTCAGTGACCCTGTTAATCTTTTATGAAGAGTTCTTGAGAACTCTTGCATGTTGCTTCATAAACCTTCATCTTGCCTAATAAAGTTATCATTTCAATATAGATTTTGATTTTAGTTCCCTCTTTTCCTGCTTCATAAACAGCAAAGCTGCTGTTATTTTTTCATTATTCATGTAATAGAATAATGTCAGGAAAAGGAGGAATATCTCAAGGATAAAGAAAGAGCTTGAAAAACAGCCATCACAACATGATTCAGCACAACACAAAATCTTATTTAATGCACCATTTTGTTCTGACAGTAACTGTCTAAATACTTCTCAGAAGCTCACAATGACAGAAACAGTAACCTCCCCACATTTTTCCCAGCAACTGTTAATGGAAGTAAATATTTATTGTTCTGGGATCAAAATTATATATTTTAAAAGTCATTGTTAGGCTCCATATATTATGTAACAGGTTTAGAGGTTAAAACGTCTTTTGTATAGTTTATTGCTAGAAAACATGTCTTGTAACGCAGTTTACCCAAATCCTTGTCCGTTAAGTCGGGCCTTGTTTGCCATCCATGAAGCATACCACCCAGTGTATTGCTCTGGATTGGAACAGCTTATCTGATCTGGAGTGACAGCTGCTGATTCAAAACCAAGAGGCTTATGATAGGGGCACTCTGTAAAAGAAGACATTAAGAGGAATCAGTGCAGATTGGAGTGAAAAAGTTTAATTTTTGCTACATCCATCTTCAGAAAGTGCTACACTTAATTTTATTAACAGGATGAGACAATGAAGAATGATTGAAGTTTTATTTCTTATTTTCTTTTGGATATGGAGAAGTTTGGGGGTTTAATTTTGCACACTTTCAAGCAGGGAAGTAGAAGTTGTATCATTAGAAAATCACCAATACTATACTATACTATAAACCAGTATTTCAAGTAGGACACTTACAGCTGCACATCAGTACAATTTGCTATTTTGTCTTGAAAAAATATAGACTGGCAAAGTCTATAAAACCTAGAACTTTCTATAAGAAGATATTTTAGTTAAATCATTTGACAACTCGGAAAAATAGCCTGGAGTTGTACATTCTAAATCCAAAGTCTTTACAAATGAACCATCATCAATTTACTCTTCTTGTTTAATTCACAGAATTAATATCAATAGAATTTAAATGAATGTTTCCTCTCATTTCACAAGAGCTCCTATATGGGATGTAACATGCTGGTTTTCTGTTTTGTCTTTTTTTAAAATGCAGCCCCTGTTTGAATATTGTACCTACAATTGTGGTGGTTTCTGTAGTGAAGGCATTTTGTGAATGCTATCTGGATAATAGAGGTTGCACAGAATTTGTATAGAAGTATTAAAACAACAAAAACTAAAATGAGTTAAAACACCTCCAGTGGGGCAGGCTACAGTATTTTCAAACAAAGGAAATTTAATTTTAGTAACTAATCTTTAGATAACTCAGCTGTAATATACTTAAGAGGTATACTTCCGGTGTAGAAAATTGCAGTAGACTATAAGAATTATCAAACAGATGTCTGGGGACTTTCAAATCAAGTACATTAATTATTTAATGCTGCTACTATTTACATTAAAGCCAATTCACCGTGAGAAGGATTTTCTCCTCTTATTAAGCTTCCCACCCCCCCAATACTACAGCTTCTTTTTGTTTTGAGTTATTCTTATATATAATGGACACTTTAAGAAGCCCTACTGCATTTAATGGAGAAAATATTTTGCAAATAGTGAACTAAAAGAACTGTAATTAGTTTATATTTTCGTTTGCTACATGTCTTTGAGAATGTGCAGCTTGACCCAATCTAACCAATAATACAAGTTATATAAAATTTTCAAGAAGTTCCTGATTGATAATTATGGGTATGTAGCCCAATATGAACAACATTAAACTGAATAAGCTGATTTTGAGTTGTAATAATAAAAAGATGGTACTTACCTGGCATGCAATCTAGACTGTTTGTTTCAGTGGGCCACACTGAGTTTGGATTTTTTTGACAATCACATTTACAGGCTTTGCTATGCCAGTGCTCTAGATTGTCATCCTAAAATAGTGCAGAATAACGTATCAACTTTCCATATACAGAGAATAAGCAGATTATTTGTTATCTCCCAAATTCCCATTGGACTATATCAACTCTGCTCAAATGGCGCNGCTAATGTGAATTCCTAGCATTCACATGCAGAAAAGTCCCGGCAATAAGCCTTTCAAGTGTGAATTGCAACAACAGACCTTATCAGTCCTTGAATAGTTGCCAGGCCAATAGCTTCCAGACACAATGCTGTACAATGAAATACTTGGTAAGAAGTCTTTGTGAGGCACAGACTCAGATAAGCAAATCTTCACACTAATAAATGAACTAATTGTCTCCTGCAAACACCATCCCCTTTTGCTCCTATTTATTCCCTATGGGAGGGGCCATTCAGCATCCACTTGTGCCTTTACTCCTGAGTCAACCCCTGTTCCTTAATTGTTCCCTTCTCGTGACAACTCTGTGCATATGCATATTGGGAACAGGCTCCACCTGTTTTTCTGTCCCACTTATCTCTGACTCTGAAGGTAGCTGATAACTGTCAGACGGCCTTGGCCCCATCTCTGCCTCCAATGCAGAGCAGTCATCAGAGCCTTCCCAAGACTCCAGTACTGGCCCATGTTCCTTCCCACCCTCCTCACTGTCTGAGTCTGATGCCAGCTTCACTGGCCGCTGGTGGGCAACAACAGGCCTGACCTCCTATACTTTCCAGGCTCTCTTGGTAGAACACACAGAGGAAGCAAGATGTCAACTTTGGAAGCCATATTAACAACGGAAGCTTCCACGCTGCCGCATTCTTGTGCTTGGGAAATTAGGAGGTGGGATTTAGTAGAGGGAATGTAGTTAGATAAAATAGCATTCTTCTTTTCGGTCAAGGTCATGGTATTCTTGCACCTGGAGGAGGAGTGGTTGAGTGATGTCTCCAGTTGGGATGGATTGAGATTGGACCATGTGATGGACTGATGGGTGCGAGGGGCTGGGTTTGGACTTTTGACTTACTGAGGGAAAACCCGGACCTCTCAGATTCGGGTTTTCCCAGATGTGCCTGTATACCTACTCTAATAAATGGGAACTTTGAGAAAATGCCTGTCTTGGAGTTTGCAATTGGAGTAGGGTCCCTTCAGCTGACTTCAGAAAAGTCTGTGGCGTCTGAGGGGTGCCACAGCACCTACAAGACTGGTACACCATGTTGATAGCTCTGGATAGAGAGAGTCACCCACACCGCAAACCCACAGCTGAGAGCCCCCCATGGAGGACTTTGGTGAGACACCCCCTGACCAAGCAAACTGAGGCCATTCCTACTCAACCCATTTTATTGTCCCCCTGGAACAATAAAATGCTACTGGTGTGGTCAAACTGGGCACAGGGCATTGGAATGCTTGGCCCTGGTTCCAGTCCCACAAGAGCACACCGCAGCCACCAGTGGGAAGAAGAGGGCCCCACGAAAGCCACCCGAAAAAAGTTGTCTAGCCCACCAACCTGACAAAGCCTCTCCCCAACCAGAAGAGCTGGAAAAGCCACCAGACGGGGAATCCCCTCCAAATTCTGAGGAGGAGAACAGCAGTGCAACCGTCCGGCCCTTTGCCATCAAAGCCAAACTTACAGTGCCCGAGACAGGGGTAGAAGGGGAGGTAGAGGCAATTATTGACATGGGGTGCACTCGGTGCTTCATTAGCATGTCCATTGTCGACCAATTAGGCATACGCACCAGACCATTATCCCATCCCATCTGTTTTTATTTTCAAAGAAAGTTTATTTTTTTTGTTGCATAATTAAAAATTCTTTTAAGAACAAAGTGTTGTCCAGATTTCCCCTTTAACATTTTCACATTTATATAGTTCATTTTACATTATATGTCCATTTCCAATTTTTGCCGTATTACTTTTCTTCTCTTATTTTCCAACTTTTAATTTTTATTATATACATAAACAATATCGTTTTTTCTTCCCTTTAAAAATAAACCAAATTTATCATTCCCTTTTCATCTATTTTCTACAAGTAATGTCTTCAATTTTAATTTTTTATATAGTAAGCATTTAACATAATTACTTTGCACACTTAAAAGTATTAATATAGCTCACACACATCTTAATCAGATATATACTATTGACATGTTTAAGATATTTCCTTTCATTCTACTAGTTACATTTCATTCTACTAATCTCCAATTCCTAGAGTTTCTTTTCTCTTTTTCTTCTTTTTATATGTCTTATATCTTCTCTTCTGAATTTTTTCTATCATTTTTCGATAGGTTGTTTGAATGGGTCTCCCCCAAGTTTTCCTTTTCCACCTCCCAATGTTTCTCTCTTTATTTTTGGCTAATTTCTTTTTTTCCTCTCTACTCTTTCTGTGCCTCTATAAATCTCAATAGCATTGTCCCACGGAGTTTTGTTTTTCATTTCTTTTTCTACCTTGTTAGTTTCTTGTTCATTTGCATTCCTTGTCTGTTCCTCTCCTATCTCCTGTTTCAACAATTTTTTTAAAAAATATTTTTTTTATTTTTTATTTTCAAAACAAACATAACACATAAAATCTTTCTTTACATACTGTAGAAAGTGTTTCAGTTGGTTACAAAAAGCTTTCGTGCATCTCTTCCACCGTCATCAAGCATAATTCATACTAACTCAAGTATTTTAACTACAATGTTTATATATGTTACCATCATCATACCTCCAGTTTCATTTGACTATCATTGTTTAGACATCCTTCATCTTAAAATATACCAAAATTTAATACATAACCACATACTGGCATTTCATTTACTATTTCTAAAATCCTCCAATAGTACTGAGTCCTTATATCCTATNATTATCAGTTTAATCCCACTTGCATTGCCTAAAGGGTTTCAGATGCTGCTTTACCTCTAATGGTTTCCATCCTGACTGATTAAAGGTTCCTTTTGAAATAATCCGTTTCAAGAGTCTTTACTTTCTCAAGTTAGGAGAGGAGCCATTACAAAATAAATGCAAGGATGAAACTTTTTCTGTAAGTGAACATTCCCTCTTAAACTTGGGCTTTTCTTAAAAGTACAGAGAGAAAAGGGGAAAAAAGTTGTCTTTACTCTGTTCTGCTGGCCAGACAAAACAGAATGAAGGCTTTTTCTTTCTTTTCAGTGCTATTAACTCTTTTCTAACAATTTAAAATTCGTATCTCTAGGGATCAGAGACATTTAACAGTTGCAATTACCTCGAGGGCACACAAAGACTTAGAGATACACACAGACACAAACAAGGAGGAAAAAGAGAGGAAAACAGAACTCTCAGGTTTACAAATACACTAGTCATTCCCACCATAAATCTCAGTTAAATTAGAGAAGGCACAAATCTTAACAAACATATCACGTGGTTGTATGGAAGACAGAGAGGAAGAGAAACAAACAAACAAAAAAAACCCAACATTCCTATTTATAGTCCCCTTTTCTTTTAAGTACCTTTATTTAGCCAAATTGGTTTTCCAGCTTCATCCCTGAGCAAAGCTCACTTCTTACATAAACTTTTTTCCTTTTCATGCCCACCTGGACAGGCAACTGCCTCTTTTCATTCCAGGCATCAAGCAAGTCTTTCATTATGGAGCCTACCATGACCCTCAAGCTAGAGCATCCCATGTTTCCCCTCTGATGTAGGGATTCAATTTGGCTCTGCCGGGTCCCGGCAAATTGAGTGTCCTAGTGAGACAACCGCCCCGCCAGCAGTTTTTGGATCAAAAACAGATCCAGAAGGGCTCTGGTTCCCTATCAGAGTATGGACACCTTCTGTAGGGATTCTCCTGCCTAGCATTTTTCAGACAAAAAAGGGGTCTGGAAGGACTGCACTGATCCCTGCAGTGAGTATGGATACCTGCTGTCACTGGCTTTCCCCTCGCTCAAAGTTTTCAGACTCAGAAGAGTCCTGAAGGACCTCTGCTTGCTTCCAGGGGTAAGGGGCCCTTCCTTTCACAGGGCTTTTGCTCAGTGACTTCCCCGTTGGTTGTCCAAGTTTAACTCTCTCATTCACTATTCCATTCCATTTCCACACACTCTTTCTCCTTTCCCTAACTGGAGGTCCTGTGCTCCAGCCTTGTTCTGACCTAGGCTTCACAAAATCAGGAAACAGACTCCTTGCCCCCCCCCCCAAAAAAAAACCCCTTTTTATTTGGCTAATGTGAATTCCTAGCATTCACATGCAGAAAAGTCCCGGCAATAAGCCTTTCAAGTGTGAATTGCA